ACGTGACAGCACATATCGGAAAGCATGCCGGCCCCCACCATCCCTGTCGAAAACCAATGCCCATCATTGTGTCTGGTGGGCCTGCGCACAGCTGGCCATACGCCACCACCCTCGCAGTCCCTGTCAAAATTCACTTGGCAGTGATCGCGGGGTGGCTGCGCATTATTCAGATTGCGAAGGCATTGCGGCCGGTGCCGCCGACCCAGAAGACGGCGACGACGAGGACGACGAGGACGTTGAGGAGCAGGTGGCGGAGGACGCTAGGGAGCAGGAGGAGCGAAGAAGAGGAGGAAGAGGTGTGAGGGGGGAGGAGAAGGACGAGGAGGGGGGCGAGAGGGACAAGGAGGGGAAGACAAGGAGAGGGGGAGAGCAGGAGGGAGAGCGAGGCGAGCAGGGACGTATTTGCAGGAGAAGGACGGCTGACAAGGAGGAGGGGCAGCGGTGGGTAGAGCGTGGCGAGCATGAGCAGCAGGAGACGGAGGAGGAAAGTATTGGCGAGGATGTTGATGATGATGACGACGACGCGGATGATGTCGGTGATGATGACGATGATGATGTCGTTGAGGGAGGGGGGGGTGCAAAGCCGGCGGCAGGAGAAGTCGGAGGAGGAGTAGGAACGTGAGGATGATGGTAATGAGGGGGAAAAGGAAGGGGACGAAGAGGGGGAGCCCGAGGCCGAGGAGGAGTGGGAGTACGAGGCGGAGGAGGAGGAGGAGGGCGAGCACGGGTAGACTCACGAGGTTGAGGAAAACAAGTGTGAGGGTGCACACATACTTTTGTCTGGAGTGGTTCCCCAAAAAGGCTGACGGGGGCCGCTTGTGAGGCTCGCGGGAGCCTCTTGAGGCTATTTGGGGGTCTTGGAGGTTTCTTGGGGCTTCTTGGGGTGCTTCTGAGGGGCCTCTGGGGGCTTCTTCCCGAGAGCATCTGCGGCCGAGGTTTCGAAATGTTCGTTCGGGTCCCCCGACTGGGCTCTTCCTTGGAGCCGTCTTGGGGGCCTCTTCGGTTGTCTTGGAGGCCTCTTGGTCGGTCTTGGGGCCCTCGTGGGTCGTTGTGGAACTCTCTCGGAGGCGTCGTGGGCCATCTTGGGGCGGTCTTGTGGGCTTCTTGGCCGGTCTTGGATCGTCGGGAAGGTGACCAGGCAACAACGCCGAAATCTGTGCAAAACGTACCGGTAATCGATGATGTTTGTCCTTGGAGGCCGTTTTGGAAGTCCTCTTGGAGGCTTCCTGGGGCGTTGTGGAAACTTGTCGTCTGGAGGTTACTTTGGCGACTTGTGCCAATACGTCATCGATATGGAAGCCTCGAAGATCGTCTTGGGGACATCCTGGAGCACTTTTGCTGTGTCCTGCGGCTTTCTTGGCCGCCAAACCGCCCGAGGGGGAGTCGTCTCTTCCCCGGGACCCCCCCGAGACCCCTCCCCCGGGACCCCCTTGGGACGCCGCCCGGACCCCCCCGCCGGCGGAGAAGGGTTCAAAGGGAAGGGGCTTCCTTTCGACTCAACAACAGCAATTTGCCCGAGTGAGAGTCGTATCTGGCCCGGGACCCCCCCGAGTCCCCTCCCAACCCCCCCGGGACGCCAGCCCCGGTTCCCCCTCCCCGGCGGAGAAGGGATCAAAGGGAAGGGGCTTCTTTTCGACTCAGAACGTTTTTCTTGGCCGCAAGCCGCCCGAGTCGTATGTGCCCCGGGACCCTCCCGGTAACCCTCCACCGGGACTTCCCCCGGGGCGCCCCCCCCCCTGCGGGGAAGGGATCAAAGGGAAGGGGTTTCCCTTCGATTCAACTACAACGCTTTTCTTGGCCGCCAAAAAGCCCGAGGGGGAGTCGCATTTGCCCGCGGACCCTTCCCCCGCGGGACTCAGGGACGCCACCCCCGGGACCTTCCCCCCTCCCTCCCGGCGGGGAAGGATCAAAGGGGAGGGGTTTCCCTTCGACTCAACTTGGCCGCCAAACCGCCCGAGGGGGAGTCGTATTTGCTCCGGGACGCCTCCGGGAACCTCGACCCCCCCGGGACGCCCCTCCCCGGACCCTCCCCCCCCTCCATGGCGGGGAAGGGATCACAGGGAACTACAATGCTGTTCTTGGCCGCCAAACCGCCCGAGGGGGACTCGCATCTGCTGCCCCAGGACCCCTCCCCGGGACCCCTCCCCGGGACCTCCCTGGGACGCCGCCCCTGGTCCCCCCCCTCCCCGGCGGGGAAGGGATCAAAGGGAAGGAGTTCCCCTTAAGACTCAACTACAAAGCTGTTCTTTGCCGCAACCCCCCCGGGACCCCTCCCCGAGCATGGTTCTTGGTTGGCCGCCGGTCGCCTGGGGGAGGAGGTGTTTAAAACGCATCCCCCGAGCAGGGGAAGGAGGGAGCTTGGGCAGAGGGAAGACGAAGTTCGTTAAAGCACATACGCCCAATGGGCTGGTGGGATTTACTCCGAGACGACGCTCTGGCCAGAGAGGCCTCGGAACTCAGACACGGCGCCATCGCTGGAGACCAGGATTTCTGGTGTATCTTTCCAGGTGTGTTCAAACAAATCCCGTATGGTACTCTTGCGATATGTATACCCTCGCCAAGAGATGTCCGGGAGTTACCCGATACGTGCAGCATATGTCAATATTCAAATATTACGTTTGTTGTCATTCATGACGTTATTGTTTTTGTTGTTCAGATTTGTTTTGGGCCCCTTGAAGGGGGTGATTGATCTGGAGGTGTCAAGCTATATATATATATATATATATATATATATGTATTCCCCCGAAGTGCTCTCTGATTCGACGTAGTTATAAGCTTCTCGAGGCCCAAACTACTTTGCGATATCTGACATCCCGCAAGGCGCAGTTCACGCTACACGAGCTTCATAGGGAGTGGGTATTTCAACGTCGTGACACAGTGACGAATATGTTGCCATGCCGATTTCAGACATGTCGTGCGATATTTCATCGAGGCCCGCTACACAAGTCAACCTCGAACACAATTCAATCGCCGTGTTGTTTGCGCCTCTCGATCTCCCTTCATCGGGAGAACGCGCGGGCGGTGCTGCGGCGGCTGCAGCCGTCGACGGGGGCGGCGGCTGCGCGCCTCGCAGCGGCCACGGCGGCGGCCGCAGCCGACGCCGTATGAATCGCAGACTGCGCCGGCTGGTCCCCCGCCCCGCCTTCCCCTGACGACTCCTGACCCACGACGTCACACCGCCCACCCCAACGACCGACGACGACCCCCAGTGCCACGACGGACCCCGCCCGCCTCGCCCGACGCCCGGCAGGCCCCTCTACCGCGGCCTCCAAGCCCACCGACCCACGACGACCCCCCGATTGCCGCCGACGCCCCCCGCCCCCCCCCCACCCACCCCCCGCCCCGCGCCCGCCCCCAACGTGCGCGCTTGCCTGCTGCTGCCCTTGCCTCCCGCCTCTCCTCCTGCAGGTTGGCGTCTGCTCGCCGTGTTTTCTCTCTTTCCCCTCCCTCCTCTTCCTCCTCCCGGCCCCCTCCATACATGGCGCGGGCGCACGCGCGCCTAAGGGCGGTGTCTGGTGGCTCACGCGCCACGGCCGCGTCCTCGCCCCGTGCGCTCTCGCCGCGCGTTGTGCGCAGCGGTCGTTTCCCCCTTCATCCTCGTCCTCTTCCTCCTCCTTTCCCTTTCTTCTTGTCTCCTCTCTGCGCTGCTGCGCCGCCGCCTTGCGCGCGCCCGCCCGCGAAGGCGGCCGGGCGCGGCCATCAGGGGCTTGCTTTCCTTCGGCCTGGGTCAGGGGGCTGCGGCTCGCACCCTGTTCGGAAACATCTGCCAATGCGCCTTTCGAGCTTCGCGCTGGGACTGTGATAAGTACTTGCTGCACGATGCTCAGGAGCGTGGAGCCTGTATGTATGCATATATATATACTGATCATGTTATTGGCCGCCTAGACACAGTTTGGCGTAAGGCCCAGACAGTCATGGATTTGCACTGGACCCTGGGCGCTTTCTTGGAGCTTCCTTATTGCGTAGAGTGCCCGTATCTGTGGACCTGGACGACTAGTTTGAATGCAGATGCCAGTCTTCTTGGGGGGGGCGGGGGCGTATTTTGCGCGACGGTGGGAGAGCTGTCATGAGGCGCACTGGTCTGCCGTGTGCCTGGTGCCGCAAGTGGCAGGGCGCCATCGGAGCTAGTGCTTTCCCTGTTGCCGATCGGCGGCGGCAGCTCGTGGGGCGTCAGGAGGAGGTGCGGAAGGAGGGAGGGCTCCGATAGATCGACCTGCGGAAGGGCGGTCGGTCGGGCAATCAGTTGATAACGTGCTCCGCGCATTGAGCGGGACCAGCCTCGCCGACTCGGGATCGGTATCGGGCTCTTGTCCACCGCTGCATCGGGGGGGGCGCTCTGGAGCCCTGAGGCTCCCGATCCGCATCCGCTTAAAGGGGGGCCTCCGGGCTGGGCGCGGCGGTGGCCTGCCAAGATCGGATCGTGCTGGCCCTCGGCGGGTGTTCTGCGGGGGTGGTCTCCCCAGAGGCTTGCGGGGCCTCCTGGGGGCCCCCTTCGGCCTCCTGGGGCATCGGGCTCGCTGAGCGCCCTCGGCGAAGGCCCAGTGCCATGGCACATCCTGCAACTGCTTACGGAACCAGCAGTTTGGTCATGCGTGCTTGTCGGCAAAAAAGGGCGCAGCAGCCGTCCGTGCGACCACGGCGCGTTGGAAGGTCCCAGCGAAGTTCATGGCCGCCATGGCACTTGTTTGGGGCACCCCTTGTGTTGCGAATTCGTGGGTCCTTTGTTCCAGTCGGCTCTGCACGAGGTGTGAATAAGGCAGGGCTGCGCATGTCTTGCATTAGCGTTGGCTTTGCACCTGTACGTGCTGAGACGTCAATTTATTGGCGTCGCCAAGTTGACCAACCAAGCGACGTCATTCCAACCTCGGGCGGGACGTGGGAAGAGCTCCGCGATAGATGGTAGAGACTCGAGAATCCACCGCGAGCTGATCTCGAGGGTTCTTGGGGCGTGTCCTTGGGAGCACTCGCAGGGAGAGATCATGCGCGAAGCGACGCCGGAGGAGGGATGGGAGTTCCACGACATCCTGTATCGGAATTTCGCCTGGTGCTATTCCGCGCTGGATGAGGCCCGGGATCTCCTCGTCTCTCATCTCCTCTCTTCGTCAACTTCCTCGTTGTCTTCCCCCTCTCAGGAGAGGGATGGGAGGAGGAGGAGGAGGAGGAGGAGGAGGAAGAGGATGAGGAGGAGGACTAGAGCTGACCAGACGATTAGCAACGCCCCATGGATTTGCTACCGCGGGTCTACTGGGTGCGTCGGGCCCTCCCCGCGCCAGCCCAGCAGACATCCTTCCGTCGGCATCTTCTCACACGCGCTGGATTCCAGCACAGTAACAGATGACATGTGCCCTCTTCGCGCAGGCCCTGCGGTGCACGGCTGCGTTTCTCTCACGAGCTGATCTCGGCGTTGCAGCTGAGACAAGACACTCGAACCCCCAAAAACGTGAGCCGTGACAGAAGGTGCTGTCACTGCCTATTCTCGCACGCCCGACTCCCAGTGCTGTAGTTGATCGCGTCGGGCTTTTGCGTCGCTTTCCGCCTCTCGTTGAGTAACGTGAGGGCCTGCTGCCACTGCCCGCCCTTGTCGCGCACGCCGTCCCCAGCGTTGATTCCGACTAGACTGTGATTTGGTTTCGCCGCCCCCCCTCTTCTCGCAGAGTAGCGGCGGGTCTGCTTGCCGTTTGGTTTCCTCCCACGCCCTCGTCCCAGCATTGTAGCTGATGACGTTGGGCTCTGCTTCGTCTTCCGCCTCGCGCTTGGTAGCGACAGGTTCAAGCGGCATGCCAGAACCCCAGCGCTGTAGTTGATGACATTGGGTTCGTCCCTCATTTGGCGGGCTCCATCCTCGCCTCTAGCTGCCCGCACCTCGAAAGTTGTGTAGCTGATGACGTTGGGCCCGACCTTGGCTTTCGGCGCCAGCATCTTGCCCTGATACCAGCGCTATAGCTGATGATGTTGGGGGCTCGTCCTTCGCCGTTCGGGCTCCCTCTTCGCCTCCAGTTTCTGGCATCTCGTCGGTGGTAGCTGATGGCATTGGGCCCGACTTTCGCCTCTTGCTCCCGCTTCTCGCCGTGATCCCAGCACTCGTAGCTGATGACGTCGAGCTTGTCCTTCGCTTGTCGGGCAACTTTGTGCCCCGCGCTGTGGCGGACCAGATAGGGCGCCAGCTTCGCCTCGAGCTTCTCGCAGAGGGTCGCCAACCCGGGGCTGGCAGTTGGTAGCCAACCCTTCCTGCCGTTGCTCGCAGCTTTCGCAGATTTTGATGCCCGCACTGTAGCTGATGACATAGGACATAGGGCTGATCGCACCGTCGAATCACAACGTCGAAGTCTTCGGCGAGCAACGGCAAATCACGTTGCCACTGCTGGCCTTTCTCTCACTCTTGTGGTCTGCGCTGGTACCGACTAGCTCGGGCTTCAGCTTCGCCTCCCACTTCTCGCAGCGTAGCGGCGGGAGCGCCCACCGCTTGGTGCTTTCAAACTCCCAAGCCCCAGCACTGTAGCTGATGACATCGGGGATATGGTTCACCGTCTTGGGCTCCAGCTTCGCCTCCTGCTTCCCGCAGAGCTGAGCCAGAGCCTCCTGCCTCTGCCCGCCTTCGCATGCCCCAATGCCCGCACTGTGGCTGATGGCATTGGGCTCCAACCCTGGTGGATCGCAACGTCGAGTCGTAACGTCGAACTCCACGGTGAGTGACGCCAGGGTCTGCTGCCAATGCTGACACCGCTCCTCTTTCTCGCATGTTGTCACCACCCTGGGCCGAGCGCTGTGGAAGATGACGTCGAGCTCCCCGTCCTCTTCTCGAGGTACTCGGAGCGCGCCCTGGGGGTTGTGGTGTGCGTCGTACGGGAAGGAAGAGAGGGCGAGGACGAGAGCGGAGCAGACGAGAAGAACGTCATCGTGCGCGCGTGACCCGGCGGGGGCAAGGTATCAACGTTGTAGTTGATGCCGAGGGTTCCCCACCTTCTCAATGTCCGCTCGCATCCGCATCAGCATTGCTATTCCCAAGTTGGCTGATGCACCCTGGGCCCCCTGCCGAGAGGAATTGCTGGGAGGAGGAAGAGGAGGAGGTTGACGAGCACGAAGACGGGGATTATAATAATAGGGGAAGACGGAAGAGTGAGGGGATTATAATTCGCCGGCCCAACGGGCCAGAGGCGTGCTAAGATCTCCGGTAACTGGTTCACAATTCTTCTAGTTCGGGCGCGCGGGGCGGCTCCTGGGGGTCCCCCGGCGAAAAGTACCCCGACCGCAGCCCGTGAAGGTCCTGGGAAGGTCCCAGGAATGTCCCGGGAAGGTCCCGGGAAGGTCTATTCAGAGATGGTTTTCCTCGTGGGTACGGCCTCTCAGGCCCCCCCAGAGCGTGCCAAGAGGGCCCCAAGAGGCCCCCAAGACTGCCCAAGAGGCCCCCGAGACGCCCAAAGGACGCTCCAAGACGCCGAAGCCAAGACGGCCCAAGAAGCCGCCAAGACGCTCCAAGTGACCTCCAAGAGGCCTCACAAGAGCGCCCCGAGAGGCCAAAATCATCAATTTACGATGGTTTTGAAAGGATTTTGGCCTTGTCGCATTTTCGGCTTTCCGATGCTCCAAGACGGCCCAAGAGAGCACGAAGACGGCTCAAGAGGCCCCCAAGAAGGCCCTCAGAGAGCCCAAACGGGCCCCGAGACGGCCCAAGAGACGCCCAAGACGGCCCAAGAGAGCCCCAAGACGCAAGAGGGGCCCAAGATGGGGACCACGAACCGAAACTTCAAGCCTTCCGCCCCAAGAGGGCCAGGCCCCGAGAGGCCCCCAAGATGGCCCAAGAGACCCCAGGAGGCTCCAAGGAGGCTCAAAAGAGGCCCTACAAGGCTTCAAAAATGTCTCCCAGGCGCCCCCGAACGGCCTCTCAACAGACCCCAGGGCCTCCCAAAGAAGCATCTGGACGACGGCCCTGTTTGGCCCCAAGAGCGCCGCAAATGGCCCCGAGCCCGCGCCGAAGCAGTAGCGATCATGCAATACGGGCCGGCGGAATGAGCGAAGCGATTGAATAATAGGGGAAGACGGAAGAGTGATGCTGGCCTGGATGCAGAGATGTAGGGATGGAGAGTGGAATGGAGGGGGGAGGCAGGAAGATACGAATGAAGTGGATGAGAGGAAGAGGAATGGGAGGCAGGCGAAGGGGAGGGGACCTCCTTCCCCCTTGCACATGGCGCATGGGGAGGAGGACCCCTTATGTAGCCGAAAAGCCACTGATGTTTCTTAGAGTTGAGCATAGTGGCAAAACGGCACAGAGCCGAGACCCGGCATGCGTGAGGGGCACACCACCAGGTTCAGGAGTGCAGTTGCGTTTCTGATGTATTCCCCGCCCTCTCCTCATACTTACTACTACGTTTCATTGTCCATCTAATCATCGTTCCTCAGTGTTCTTCTCTCTTCTCTTCCTCCGCCTCCTGCCTCTCCTCTTCAGCTATCCCCACCATCCTCGTCCCGTCCCGCACTCCTCCGCGTGCCGTTCCTCCGCAGTCCTCGTCTTCCTCATGCTTCTTCACTCATAGTTCATCCTTCTCCCTCTCCATTCCCCTTCCTCCTCCTTCCCCCTCGTCTTTCCTCCTTCCTCATCCTCGTTCCTCCTCCTTTCTCCGCATCCTCCTCTTTTGCCCTCTGCATTCCCCTTCCCCTCTGTCTGCCTGACTCGGCGTGCTTCCTCTCCCCTGCGCTACCACGCCGCTCCGCCCCTGGCGGGCGACGGGGGCCAAAGCTAAGGATTAGGTAGGAGGGGGAGGCGGAGGCGAAGGTGGAGGACAAAGGACCCGAGGGCGAAGGATGGAGGACGGGGGACGGGGGACGACGGAGGAGGAGGAGGAGGAAAAGGAGGAGGAGGAGGAAGTTGGAGGAGGAGGAGGAGCAGGAGGACGAGGGGGAGGAGGAGGACGGGGAGGAGGAGGAAGATGAGGAGGAGGAGGAGGAGGAGATGGGCCAAGGAGGAGGAGGAGGAGGACCAGTGTAGACTCAAGACTCATCAACGATGTTGAAATACACCCTCCCTCCAAGATCCCTCTTCACAGGCTCCTACAAGTTGCCATTTCCACCACGGGACTTGCCCTGTTGGGGAATACATGTGTAAACATCTTGAAGCGTGCCAAGCTATCAGTCTCTGGCGCCCAACGCCACGAGTTCACCTGACTGGCACGTCTTAGCGATCCTGAATCGTGCCAGAACACCGTTCCTGGGACTTCAACATCGCGAACCAACGTAATGTGTGCGCCCTGGCAATCCTGAATCGCTCCAAAAACACAATTTCTGGTACGCAAACAATGGGCATCCATGCAACCCTTGCAACGGTTGAAAACGCATGCGCGCGGCGCTGAGGCGAGAGCCGCATTTAGGAAAAGGAGCCGCCTTCAGCCCGCGAAACTCTTACAACTGTTTATAACGATTGTGCGCAGCGCTGATGCGAGAGCCACAGTTTGAAAACCATCCGCCTTCTACACATGAGACTCTTGCAATTGTTTAAAGCGCATGCGTGCGGCGCTGAGGCCAGAGCCGCATTTTGGAAAGGTGTCGCCTCTAATCTGCGAAACTCTTGCAATTGTTTATAACGAATGTGCGCGGCGTTGGTGCGAGAGTCACAGTTTGAACGCCACCCGCCTTCAATACATGAAGCTCTCGCCACTGTGTAAAACGCGCTTGCGCGGCGCTGAGGCGACAGCCGCGTTTAGGAAAGGAGCCGCCTTCAATCCGTGAAACTCTTACAACTGTGTATAGCGAGCGTGCGCGGCGCAACGCGAGAGTCACAGTTTGAAAACCACCCGCCCTCAATATGTGAAGCTCTTGCAACTGTTTAAAACGAATGTGCGCAGCGCTCATGCGAGAGCCACATGTTAAAAGCCACCCGCCTTTAATCCGTGAAGCTCTTGCAGATGTTTACACAGAACGTGCGTGGCGCTGAAGCGAGAGCCACACTTTGAAATCCCCCCGCCTTTAAAAATGTGAAAACTCGGGTCAATTGTTAAGCATCAGGGTCACAAGTGGCGAGGAAGTCTCAGGCGAAACGCCAGTCCCGCCCTTTCGACGGGCCTCAGGCTGTTATATAGAAGGGGAAAGGAGGAGGAGAGCCGCACCGCCGAGGCATGCACGGCCCGCCGTCAGGATGAGAGCGGCCACTTGACACCAGCTCGGATGGACAGGGCGGCAGCCGCCATCGCCCACACTCCAACAGCGCCGCCACCTGGGAAGGTGGTCCGTCCTCAGGGTGAGAGCGGCCACCTGCCAATGGCAAGAAGGCGCAAGCTTCCATCACGCTCTGTGGAGCCCCCCCAGGCGGCCCCGAGGCATACGCGCTGGGACCCCGACGCCTGTTTGCAGGCGGTGGATCCAACCATTTGCCTCGGGGACGCCTGTGGGGGATTCCTATCAGCAGATGGACAGTCCCTTGCGCCTTCCACTGGGCCGTGGGTGGGCAGGACGGCCACCGCCCACCCTCACAGCATTGCACCCAGCACCTGCTGCCGCCTCGCGCCTGCCATATCCCACCCTCATCTCCCCTCTTTCGCTATTCTGATGCCTCGTCCTCTCCTCCTTCGTATGTTTTTTCCCATGTCTATATGTTGCTCGTCGCCGCTGGCCTTCGGAGCGCTGCTGCAAGGGTCACCTGGCACTCGGGCCAATGGCCCTAATGGGGGACAGCTGCGTTCACCGAGCACTCTTAGCCGACAGGAACCAGGAACCAGAAGGAGCAGGAGGAGGAGGAGGCGGGGCGCAGAAGAATTCGTACAGGGGCCGGATAAGATTTCCTCTGTGCCAAGGGCAGACGTGCCCACGGGCGGTGTGTGTGTGTGTGTGTGTGCGTGGGGGGGGGGGCAGTCCATGTCGCAGGCGCCTGTGGCCGACTTTCGGCACGTTGATCACCACGGACATCACGAGCCGCTCGCCTGTTGTCTGCCTTTCACGTTCGGTTGTGTCTGCTGCCTTCTTTCGTTCTCGCTCCCTCCGGCACTGCTCTACGGTTTTGTAGCCGTCCACAGCGTGCAGTCCGAGATGAGCTCTCTTGCGAGTCGCACTACGTGCGCCTTTTCCTGGAAAGTGGGGATTATGTTTCCCAGCCGTTCTGTTTTGGGTTCTCGTTTTGAAGCGAACACTTCGGTCGCGACTCCTCCTCCTCCTCCTCCTCCTCCTCCTCCTCCTCCTCCTCCTCCTCCTCCTCCTCCTCCTCCTCCTCTCCTCCTCCTCCTCCTGTTCCTCCTTCATTTTTTCCCCCCCCCCTGCCCGAGGTTGGTTATCCAGGGGCGGCTGCGCAGAAATATGCGCATTCATAACGCGCCCCGCATGGCGCGCCCTCCTCCCGCGGTGAGGCGGCGGCGGCTCCTGGCGTCGGACGGCTATGGATTTCCCTGGATCCTCTTATGGAATATGTTCTGTGGAACGCTCAGAATGCAAGCTCGGAGGAACGGTTTTGTGATATCTCTGCTGAGTTTCGCTAGTTTGATGTGATTTGTTTGAGTGGCACTGGAGAACGGAGGACAACTGTTGACACTACAGTATTCATTCGCTGGTGTCTTTCCATACTGCTCTTCGATCGGGCTGGAGTCACAACCACCACGTGAACAAGAGTTGCGGGTGCACCACTATGCTTCGCAAACGTGTGTTTCGGACGTCACACCTCGTGGACACCCCACCCGTGCCAGTGCAGCTGCGAGGGCGCATTTCCCTCACACGCCTGCGCACCGGAAGATTTGACATCCTGGTACCGATGGCCTACTGCCCTCCGAGGCCGTCGAGTCGTCGATTAGCCAGGGAGTCAGCGCGCGCGGGGACCGTGTACCAGCAGTACAGGGCCACTGTCGACGCCATATGCGATTGGGTCGAGAAGACCATCACACGGGCGCGAGGGCGGTCAGCTCTCTTCTTCGGCTTCGACCTGAATGACGGGTTCGGCCTTCGTCAGCGAGGCCCGCAGATCTTCGAGCAGGTGGACCCCGCGGCGCTGGGACCATACGGGCGCCAGCTGCAGCACTACGCGGCCGACAGGAAGCCAGAGCCGCTCGGACGCTTCACGCTCGGGGTGGTCACCAGCGACTTCGACGTGGGGCCGACCTTCCACGGAGTGCGTAGCGCCACCTTTATCGACCACATCGCGGTCTTCGCGTGGCAGGCTGCCCTCCGTGCAGCGGGTGCTCCCATTCAAGTGTGCCAACCTGCGCTTGAAGTTGATACTTCGCCCGGGCCTCCAGGACCACGTCCCGTTCCTGCTGCAGGTCATCCGCACGCTGCAGGCGCCTCCTACTCGACCTCGGGGACGGTCTGGGGTTTTCATCGGTTGGGCCAGGCGCTGCAGCAGGGCACTGAAGTGACTGCCTTCGCCAAAAAGCTCGAGAAGGCCTTCGCGTAGCACCCTGGCTACTTTCACGCGCTGTGCGACGCGAAGGCGCCTGATGAAGCCCGGGGCCGCTGGATGGGACAGTTGGCAACCGCGGCTCAGATGCACTTCGCTGGCCGCCCCCCGGTCCGAAGCGAGTCCAACGACTTCGGGCGGGGCGACTTCGCTTGCTGGCCGCTCGTCGAGACGTTCGAGAGGCTGGAGGCGATCCCACTGACATGGCCTTTGCCCTCGCGAGGGCGTCGCGCCAGCTGCGCGCGCATCGTCGAGTTCGTCTCAGCAGCGAGGTGCAGCTCCTCGTTGGCGGCATGCGAAATGCGTGGAAGAAGCGGCAGTTCGCCGAGGTCTGGCGCCTCAGCCACCAGCTCGCGGCCCAATGTAAGGGGCCACGCCGACGACGCTACAGCGCCGGCGACAGTTTCCTCCCGCGGCGCGCCGAGATCGCGCGGCACTTCGCACGGGCTGGCGCTGATGGGGGCCTCGACGCGATCCCGATCGAGTTCGAGACGTACCGCCAGCAGTACTTGGGAGGGGCTCCCACGTGCTCCGATGCACGCGTGCGACCGCCTCGATCTCGGGCGCGAGGACTTCGAGAAGCTGGTCGAGGTCCGTTCGAAGTCCTCACGACGTCGAACTGCACCACCTCGCAGTGTTCCAACTGAAGTTCTTCGGCTCGCCCTCGAGCCCTGGCGTCGATACGCTGGCAGATGCAGGCGACGACGCCCGCGGAGTCCTGGTGGCGAAGATGAGGGGGATGACGAACCTCACCCTCGCCCTCGCCCTCGCCCTCGCCGGCGGCCAGTTGCCTCGCCCTCGCCCCAGGCGCGCGGCCATCATCCTCCCAGGGCTCGTTTGCAGCTGCGACCTCGCCACCGTCTTGCTGGCGATCGCCGCGGAGTCGGCCTCGACGTTTACGAGATCGACGCGCTCGTCGCCGAGCGCTCTCTGAAGACCATCCTCGCCCGCATCAGGAGGGCCAAGCGCGCCCCGCTGATCTGGCGCCACTCGGTCACCGCGGGCCTCGACAAGAACAATGGGAAGGCCGAGTTCAATTCCACGCGCTTCATCCACGGCCCATGCAGGGTCGGCGCTGCCGGGTGCAAAGCTCAACTCCAACGCGCGCCGCGGGGCGTTCCACCGCCGCGAGAACGCGGATGCCAGTGAGGGCGCAATTGGGAAGGCGCACTTCTTTGCCGGGGGGGACTTCTCGGACGTCTCCGTCGGCTGGGCATCTCCCCCCTCGCCGCGAAGGAATGCATGGGCAACCCCTTCGGCCCCTCCGCGCCGCCGGCCCTGCGCCGGGCGGGGCCGCGGCGCGCCCAAAGGGGCAGGGCTACTTCCGCCAGCGGCACGAGCTCAGCACCGTCCGCGCCATCGGAACCGACGGCGACCAGGACCTCCACAACCGCTGCGGCGCTTTAATGGGGGACACCCCAGCAGCGCGAGCCCATCGCCGAGTGGCTACAGCGACTGCGCGCCGCCGCCCGGTCCACCTGCGACCTGCCCGACGCCCCGACCACCTGCCAGGAGCGGCAGCGCCAACCTCTTCTACCTCCAGCTCCTCGCGCAGACATCGACGCCGCGATCTGGCCGAGCGACGTGCTCTGCGCCGCGCGGTGCCCACTTCTGGAAGCTGCTGCGCCGCAGGGCACTCGGATCTACGCGGTCGACACCTATCGCGCGAGCGCGGTGGCCTCGGCCAGGAACGCGGGTTTCGTCTCGAGGCACTTGCGCTGCGAGCTGCGGCGCTGCGGAGCTGCGGCACTCGCGCTACGAGCCCTGCGGCTACGCGCACAACCCGTCCAAGAGCTCGGCGCTGCCCTGCCCCCTGGGCCGCGGCTCCCAGCGCGAGGCGCGCCGGCTCTTCAGTGGGGCGGAGGCCCTCGCTGGCGTCGCGCAGCACGACAACGTGGCCCTCGGATTCCAGACCTTCATCGTGGGCAGCGCGCAGACGGAGCTTCGGCGAAGGCTGCAAGCTGCCCGTGGGGGATGCTATGGCATGGTGCGCTTCTGGGCACGGAACGCGCCTGGCGCCCGACGCGGATCGCGCTCGCCTCCGCGGTGCAAGAGGCGGCGCTCAGCGGGCTGAATGCCCCTGTGCTCAGCGCGTCGCAGTGCCAGCAACTGGGCAAGGTGCTGTCGAGCATTGGTCGCCGCTTGCTGGCTAGCGCGGCGCGCCAGAAAATTCCTCTCCTTGGCGGTGATGACTGGCCGAAGTTCGATGACAATTGCAAGCCGCCCGTGAAGTGCAAGGCCATGACTGACGAGGCTGGCTTGATGAGGCTTGGTGTAGCCCCTGCACCAACAGAGCTTCGGGTTCGTCGGCTACGTCAGTACCAACGCTGGCTTCGGAGCCCCAGCCAACATCCGCAGGAGCTCGCCATGGCGCGCGGAGAGCTGCCGCTGGAACGGACCCCAACGCTTGGCGCCGACGGCCCCGTCGCTGCCGACGCCAACCCGTGCGGGCTGAGTCTCGTCGCCGACGTCGAGGCGTTGCTCGAGGTTGCCGAGGCGAGCGAGCTGCGCATCGCTCGGCGACGGGTGACCCCATCTGGCGCAATTCAGTGGAGACGGTGCGCCACCCTTCTGCCGGGCCCGGCGCAGACCATCACGAGGGCGGAGCTTCTCCCCTTGGTCCTCTCTCGGTCGAGAATGTCGCGCAGCCCCTCCGGGTCTTCATTGACAATAAGTGCGTTTTCTCGGAGGCCATCCTTCGGAGCGCTGCAGGTGGCCGTGGCTTCCCGTGGCCGCATGCCACCCGTCCGAACGGTGACTTGCGGGGGCGTTTCGACGCGGCCCTCCGGGCGCGCCCGGGCCGCGCCGCAGCTGTGAAGAAGGTGAAGGGCCACGTTGACTCGTCCGAGGTGCAGAGCTCTTTCGAAGAGCACTGCCGCGCGGGGCACGATTTTGCCGACCAGTCTGCTCATCGCGGCCGCCGCTATCATGGGCCTCGCCGGGGTGACGCCCGCGCTGCCGTGGAGAGCCGCGCTGCCGCAGTACGCCGGGCGCACACTTCCCCCCTCGGCGCGCAGGGCCGCATGTTGGACCAGCAGAGCGAGGCAGAGAAAGCCGCGGAAGCAGCGGATACCCCGCCTCCTGCTCCCGATGCCGCGGACGATCTCCCACCTCAGCATCCCATGGCGTGGGGCGGGAGTTCGTCGTGGCCCAGCGCGGACGCTGCCCTGCCAGTTGGGCTGGCGCACGCGCGGCTCACCCACGGCCGCGTTTTCTAATTTCGCCTTCTGAAGTGGCGGGGCACATTGGCCTGGCCTGCCCCGTGCAACTCACCCCCCGGCTTTGGTTTCGGGCAGGTCAGCTGCGTCGAGCCCGCGGTGCCGTTCGAACTTGAGACCCGCGCGCGGCTCCCAGTCCTGGTCGACCGCAAGTGGCATTTGCCTGACTTGGCCCCGTCCGTCAACGTGGTTCACCAGACCCTCAAGCAGAACAGCGTGCTCCTCCAGGCCTCGCTGCGCACCGCCCTGGCGCTTTTCGAGCGCGTGGCGAACGCGCTGCTGCGCGCAGAGGGGCGCGACGCATTGCCACGCCATGCGCCCTCGCATGCGATGTCCTGCCTCGGTGCGCCAGTTTGAACATTTCTTCGGGGTCCCATCGGCGCGCCGAGCGCGTTCGCAGATGGATCGGTCCTTCGCTGTAGTCTTCGGTGGAGGGCCAGCTGTGGACGTCCTGAACCATGCGCCCGCAGGCAATTCGCTGTCCGCGATCCTTGATCTCGGCACCAACCCGCCCACTGACGCGCTCATACTTGCGGAGCTTCGCGTTGTGAGCGGGCGCGAAGCCGCTGGACGGCACTCCGCTGCGAACAAGGCCGCCGCGCGCCGAGACGGCCGCGGCCTCGTGTTCTCCGACCCACGCTGGCCACGCGCTGCACTTGAATTCCCGCTGCCTCAGTGGCCGCCCGCCGCCTCGCGCCTGCGGCCAGGGCGCGGGGGCTCATGCTCGATGTGATGAGGGCGCTGCTGCAGCCAGGCTGCGGTGCACATCGTGGTCTGGTTCCGCGCGCAGGAACCGGTGCGCGGCCGCGTGCGGCTTCCACATTTTCGGTTTGAATGTTGTCGACAAGCACTGGGAATGCTGCCTCTGCGCGCACAGCGTAGACTCTGGTCGCTTGTCCGCGCTCTGGAAGAACATGGGCCCCGGCTGGCCCTGCCGCCGCAGTGGCTCGGGTGGCAACGGCGCCGCCCCGCCGCGCGCGCGTGCGCCGCGGCCCGCGGCTACCCCCCCCCCCATCCCCCCCTCCTCCTCCTCCTCCTCCTCCCCCTCCTCCTCCTCCTCCTCCTCCTCCTCCTCCTCCTCCTCCTCCCTCCTCCCCCTCCTCCTCCTCCTCCTCCTCCCCCCCCTCCCCCCCCCCTCCCCCCCCCCCCCTCTGCCGCTGTTCGCTTGTGCTAATCGACTGCGTCGACCAGGCGCGGGCCGCCCTCGATCCGCGCATTGCGGCGAGCCTCGCCCTCGCCAAGGTTGTCGCTGCCGTTGTTCGGGAACGCGTTTGTCTTTAAACGCATCGCCCTGGCGGTCCGAGAGAGCATCGCGGATGCCTTCGGCAGAGCGCGCAATGGAAAACGAGTTACCTGTCCCCCTGCGGCGGCTTCGGGCCGGAACCTAGGAGAACGGCGGCGACCGCGCGGTTTCCAGAGCTTGGCGCGCTTCTGGTGGAATCGCTGCTGGCGGCGGGCCGCGGCGGCCGACTGGCTCCGCCCATTGGCCTGCGCGCGACGGGCCATGGCATCTGCTCGAGATTGGCGACGGGCGTGCGACGCAGCACTCATCTCGCGAAACAGCGCGCGAAAGGCTTCTGGCTCGACCAGGGAGAGAGTGGATGCCGAGACAGAGCGGAAGCGAGCACCGAGCTCGGCGGCGGCCTGGCCAGCGGCGCCAGCTCTCAGGTCTCGGCCCCGCGCCCCACGCGCGATGGCACGAGGCGTGACGAGGCGGGGCCCTGCTGCATCCGTGTCGCGAGACGAGAGCGGGAGCTTCTGGGGCTCATTGCGCGTCTCGCGCGCTGCCCCCCCGCGCATGCGTCTTCAAATATTGCACTCCCAAGGCGGCGAGGATGCGACATGTCGACAGCTTAACTGAGAGATTCTATATTGTCACGATCGCGGAAATCCGTAAAGATGAAGTCAGGCGTGCGATGGTATGTCTCCGACACTTGTCCACGGCTTTGAAACGAAAGCGAAACCGACGCGCGGCCGCTCGGACGGGCGCCCGACATTTGACGTGGATCGGCGTGAATTGCCATCGCCGCGTCGACCTCGATCATGAATGTCGAGGGCTCCAAGGAAGACGCGACCCGAGGCTACGGCAGTGAAGTGCTGGCGATCGAAGCGCGTGGGCAGGTCTGCTGAGACCTCCGCGTCGGACTGCACGAGCGGGGGCCGAAGGCTAGAGTGCGGGGACACATGGGTGCCCAGGGCATGTCTGGCAGCAGCGTGCTCAGGATTATCATAGCTGACAGGGGCGGCGTTTATGAAAAGCGCCTCCCTCTAGGATGCCCCCATGTTGGATTTCTTAAACGTAGTCGCGGAATAGGTGTTAGATACGGTCCGCGATACAAGCCCAAATACATGCAACGCAACAGTTTCGAGTATGATACCTGCGCAAGGTATCGGTGCGCTTGCGGAGCCAATGTAAGATACCCGCATACATATCCCCCAATTACAAACCGTTTCGTAGGCCATGCGCAGCACCTGAGGAAGACATAGCCGCAATGTGGCCCGATGGGGGATTTGTCATGCGGTGATCTGCGCGCAGCGAACCGCGCCCGCTGGCGACGCGGAGCAGTTCGCGTGGGCGGCGCAGGCAATGTGGCGCAAGATGCGCGGGAGAGGGTGGGAGGATGAGGGGGGCGGCGATGGGGGGTGGGGTGGGGGGGGGGGGGGGGGGGGGGGGGGGGGGGGGGTGGGGGGGGGGGGGGTGGGGGGGGGGGGGGGGGGGGGCGGGGGGGGGGGGGCGTGCAAGCCATCCAAGATGTTCCGTGCGAGGCTGGACACGTTCTGGGCTTGAGCCTTGTAAGCCAGCTTGGGGCCATCGTTCCGAATGGTTGAACGCATTTTCCGTAGCTGTTTAGGCCCATGCAGATGACGAGTTCAGTTTTGTGTGTTCTTTTCCTTTATGCAGCGAGGCGTTGCATGGATGTTTCTGGCGGCGCTTCTGGAGGCGAGTGTCTCGCGTCCTGGGGTGACGAGGTGGCCAGCGGCAATGGCGCTGGTGAGAGGGGGCTCGCGTCTTTTGGTGAGTCCGAGGTCGCCGACTTGTCGGGTTGGGCCTCTGACGAGCCCAGCAACGACGGGGGGGCAGATCACGACGGGGACTCGCATCGCGAAGTCGTAGCAGCTGGGCCTGCCCTCGAAAGCGCACCGCCTGACATTCGGACATTCGCGGCCACGGATTGGACATGCGTCTTAGATCCCGCGCCTTGTGGCGCCGCGTGCGCACGCGGCTCGCGACTTGCCTCGATCACCGCCCTGCCGCGCCAGAGCTGGTAGCTCTGGAGGACCTGGCTGTCCGCGACGAGGGCGCCGAGGGCGAGGACGACCTCGCTGAGGCGGTCGTCGCTGTCGAGCCTGGCGCGCCACCGCCAGAGCCCGAGTGCCACGCCTTGGCGGGGCCCCTCGAGATGATGACTGCCATCGTTCAGGATGCGAGAGAGAAGAGCTCAGCAAGTATTTTTCCTGGGACTTCCAACTGCGACTGCCCCGGAGCCAATGTGATTACAAGCGCACCGATGCAAGAGGGGGCGGGGGCGGGAAGGAAGAAGACAGACAAGAGACAAAAATGGATAGAAGAGCAACGGTGGTCACAGTCTTTACTCTCGCCGTATAGAACAAGCACGGAGCAATCGACCCTGAGCACCCTCGAAATCAGCCGGCTCGTCTCCAGCTCTAGCGGGGGAGGCGGAAGAATTGGCGGCTTCACTATTGGGGTACCCGGGGCGACTGACGTGCAGCAAGACATGCGAGAATGAGTGGCCTAGTGCGGATGCTCCCGGAGAAACCTGCGCAGAATTCGATTCAGGAAAACATTGGGGTATTGCAGGGCGCGGAACTCAGCATACAGTGTGCTAATGTCATGTGCAAGCAAGCTAACATCTACATACATGTACCTGTCTACACACGCGATGAATTGAGAGCGTACCAGAGCGGCCTTGCGTGCTATAGGTGCATTGGACAGAAAATGCTGGAACCTAGGGCGGACTACATCACCACGCGTGCACAGCTCATGGTCATTTACATTCAACACGTGCGTGCTCAGAAGACGACCTTCCCGAATAACGACACGAAAGCCTGCGAAAGTCGATTCGTCCTCAATCTTCAAACGACCCAGCAAATTGTATGTCGATTCGAACACATGGACATGGCGGTCAGCCACATCAGCTGCCAGGCCCGGGTTCTCTGCCAGCAACCAAACAATAATGCATATGAAAATGTCGTCCAGCCACCTGCACACGACGCGGTCCATGTGGATGCCGGGTACACTCGGTGGCACCGAAGAACACAAGTTCTCGAGATAGCAGCACGCCAGCGAGCAGACCCCCGGTGACAGTGGCGATCCTTGAGTCATTCCGCTTGCAGGGCGGAAGAGAACGGTCCCAAAATACAAACACCCCCACAACATATCGAAATGAAGAACACCATCCATGTCGTCAACGTGCAAGACAAAGTGATCCTGCGTAGCCACGCGTGCTTGCTGGACACGAGGGATGGACCGGTCACTCTTTGCAGGCATTATATTCCGCGAGAACCCGTGGAACGAACGAGACGACACAGAACGCTGACGCCGAAAATGGAGAGCACGTTCCCTTGGGATACACACCACCTTCCTGCGAGAGCCGAAGCGAGCCACCCACTCGGACAAACACCAACGCCATGCAGCCAGTATGAGGCCACGGTCCACATTGTTGAAGAAAGACTCAATGTCCCGCTTGTACGTGTGCGCGTGACCAACCCATCGCCTCCTAGCCCGGTCGTGCGCGCTCACGTTCATGTTGTGAAACTTATCAACAACGGAGAAAACGTCGTGCTCAGCATGATGACCACCCAGTTTACATACCATGTGGCTAAGAACACGACATGCTAATGAGTACAATGGCTTGCACGCATGTGTACAATACGAACCCAACGGTTTCATTTTGGTGTGACTGCCGCTCTCTTTTACCCACCCTTGAAAAACTCCGAAAACATGCCGGTCAGGAGGAATGACACGCACTCCGGAATAGGCTGTGTGTTGACTGCAGCGCGTCGAGGGCCTTCTCGAATGCACGCGCCCCGGGATAGTCGAAGACCGCATTGCCATGAAGCATTGCTAAATTGAAGCAACGATTCTGCCCCCCACGGGGACAACAAAATGATATGATCGATTTGTTTTTGTCCACTGGGCCAATCACTGCAATGTCGCTCAGTATTGATCGCCACCGCATCATGTCCCCTTCCAGGGCCCCCGTGCCTCGGAAGTGCGATTGCGAAGAAAATATATTATTGATGGTCGCCCAGAACTTGTGCATTTCCAAGACGAACGGCCCGCGAATGATGGCGCGCACCCGGTCTGCGAGGTGTTGGAAAGAAGCAGAACACTGACGTAAGAAACTCTGCCGGCTCCAGACCAGGCCGCTTTCCGCAGAGAATGTGCGAGGAAAGGCTTGCGCGAACGAGCTAGAACTAGACCGAATACGTGTGCCTTCCCAACGTTCCCCTCGTCCTCCCCCAACATACTGCACAACGACCCACACGTGCATGGAAAATCATACTCTGAAATGCGTTTTGCCCACCATTTGACGTTAACCATACAAGACTTATAAGCAGGTAAATCTTTCTTGTACCCCTTCTGCCCCAGGATCTGCGTATAGTGCTCAACGATGCGTGCCCCCAAACCCCGCACGGACTTCCCGATGTATGTGTACGTGTGGTGCGCCGAGAACCATATGTAGACAATCTGGCCCTCGGAGTTGTAGC